CGTCAGCTGCTTTCCTGGTGGATTTACTCACTTGGCTGTGGCTCAAATCAGTGTACCAAAATGACACCTTGGTAAATGGAACCCAAAACTAAAACCGCGTAACCCCGGCTCTTGATTTTTGAGCCACAGCCATTTATCCAAAAACAAGAAGTAAGCAGGTCTGCCTAGAAGGACATGGCGCCAACACAGGACACCTAAAAATCAGCTCAGGTCCATTCGCGTCGGGTTACTGATCACGGCAATGCGTGCCTTCTAAATGGCACTTTTCAGGGATTTCCTTACGTTCCCTTGCAGGATTGCAAACTACACCTTCATTTGATCCTTGTTTGGTCATTGCCTTGAGGTCCTGACCAAGTTGCTGCCTTAAGGCCTTAATAAACCCAGACCACGGTTACCAGCATAGTAGGTAACCATTGTCCTTCTAATTTTTGAAAGGACAGTTGCCTTTGCTGCCTACCATACTGGCAAGGGTCGCCGGGAAGGGGTTGTTCCCCCAAACAAACACTTGGGAGGCTTGGGTTTCTATGAGTAAAAGTCAGATCCTACATGGGTATCCCCATCCAAATCACCAAATCGGCCGATGGATTTGCCAAGCTTTACCAGAATTCCAAAACCTCAAGCAAACAATCCCCAAGTAATTACGGGATCCGGGCCCAGTTTATCTATCCCTAGGCGCGCTCGTTCCAAACTGCCCAAATGATATGCTTTCGAGGGAGGAGCCCGCAAAACCCGGCCTCTTTCGGAGAAGCACACTTCTCCGGCTCCTGCCGTGATGCCAGTGCCAAAGTGACTGGACGGGAAATCGGCTGGCGCCCCCCGAATGACTTCAACCTATTCGGTATGTAGGTTGTAAGCGTGATTACAGGAAAACCAACAGGAGTTGGCTGACTTAGATCCATTGTTGTAAGCTACATAACACATGGACTGAACATCCACGCGCGCTTTTGTAACAATGGTGAATGTTAGCCGTCTTTCACTCGAAACCAACAAAACACATGCGCAATACAAGATCGAGCACAATTTGCGGGTTCAATCCATGGATCGCCCGGCTCGGTGGACAGTGAGACTTACTACACACCAACAAACTCCAGTGTGTAACCCTCCTAGCACAACCAGGTAGGGAGTCACTTCCGCTTTGTCAGAGAATGTCAGCAGGCCGTATCGAGGGCTTTCCTCGCTCTTTTGCTGGGCTGTGCAAGTAGGACCCGAGAATCCAGCCTCCACCCTGCGTTCGGCTGACAAGTGGAACCCACTGGTGGGCCAGTGCAATCCACTTGAAAGGTCCAAGCAAAGGAAGAGCCCAAGGGTCTTGTGCAGTACCAACTATGAGGTTTCTCTGAAACAGGGATCTCCCTCCGGTTTTATCTTTGTTTCTAGGGGGTCCGGAAAAATCACAAATGACCCATCCCCTTTTGTATCCTTTCGGGAAGTACGGGCGCTTGCTGAACCAGGGATGCTTCCCATCAAGAAGATCAACCCCGTTTGCCCACCCCCCGCCGCATCCTTCGGAACTTCGGACTTGTTCGGCTCCTGAAGCAGGTGCGGCTTGATTCCATGTGATAGCGCATGACTGGAAATTAATTGGTACATCGTATGAATAAAATTCTGATGAATTGGGGGTTGTCCTATTTTGGACTTTCGCTTTTGGGGGAAAACTCAACCTGGTGCCAAGTGAAACGCAAGTCATTTGTAGAGCTTGATCCATAGTTGGTCAACCTTGCGTAAAATGAGGTCAATTCAAACTTCACAATCGGGGAGCCCATGAACACACGGTTCCCACCGCTGGATCATCCTCTGGGAGCCATCAGAAGACCTCAAATCGGTTGGCCAAAGGCACCCTTCGCCCATCTGCATTTACTGTAAATCCCCACTCTGCTACTGTACTAAGGCATCCCCAAACAAAAGGCCCTCATCATGTACCATTTTGTGAACCTTACACTGAGTTCTTTTCCGGATCGATTTGCATTCCCAGTGACCAACTTTCCGCACTTTATACATCACCTGTCTCAAGCTGACAACATCCACCTCAGGGGTCACTGGATTTCCCTAAGGTTGAAATGTGCTGCCACTTTTGGAGGTTCCAAGAAAGGAAATGGCTCGGAAACCCCCGAGACCCCAAACTCGAGGGGTCGAAAATCCCTGTGCCGCGCCTCTCTATTCGCCGGCTTGGGTTTCACCAACGGGCCCAGGCACAGCCTCAGTACCACAAACCCTCCATGTTGATAGGTCCCGGGTATCTGAAAACACCTGGGTGTGTTTTACTTGAGGGCACCTGTTGGGGGTGGTTTTAAGGGAAAACAAAGGGAACACCGCTGCCTCTGCTGTTTTGGGGGGAGGGGGAACCCCATTCAAAGGGGTCGAAGTGGAGGCTGATGGATCAATGTGTGCTCGATGTGTAGATTCAGAATGTCTTGTGGTCAAACAAGTTAATGGCGATATGGAGCACCCACTCTTTGCGCCTATGTTGTTCAGTTTTGTATCGACTCTTCAAGTTCACAGCCCTCGGACGGTACCGCGGGACCGCTCATGGTTCACGCGAAGTGTATTCTGCTAGACCGGGCTTGACTTTTGGACCTCATAACCTTCCTCCTCCAATAGCACCCCAGGGAGCGTGGGAACTGGAAGTTTACGTAGCTTCCCTTCACGGGACGCTGTGCCAGGTGCAATGTTAGAAGGGAGGGTAGTTAGTTTGGAGCTTTCTGAATTGTTCCCGGACTCGTCAGTTTTGTGGTGTTGAATGTTCCTGGACTCCGTGTTGAGTTTACCTTCCAAGCCCAAATATGTCGGCACCAAACTGAATGTTCTACGCGGCCGAATCATAGGGAGGCAGCCGAAGGCTCGAAGTCTTCGGGGCTTTCCCTTGGAAGCTTTCCTTGGGGGCACATCCACCCCAATGCAAGTCCTATGACATTTCATTGCCTTAGCTGTTCAACCTAAGCATGCCTATGTCAAGATTCACCGATTGAACGAAAATATCAGTATCAGGGTTGCACACAAAATTCCTGAAACACCTTTGTGAGGTCGTTGAAGGGCCCTTCCAGTGCTGGAAGCACAAAACTCAAAGTACGGGCTTTAAACATGGGGTCCTGACCACTCAGTTTGGGTAGATGGCCCAGTTTCTTAAGGGTCGTGGAGACTCCAAGTGCACTTCTTGCTATAATTCACCGATCGAATTGAATTAAGGAATCCCGGACCTTCTATTCAGTCCACCCGGAACTCCACCCCCTCGCATTCTGTTTGTCCTTCGATACAAATCAAACCAAATTCATAGGGTATGCCATTTTTTGACTAGGGTCCCCATATTTCCCCTTAAACAAAGCATCACCCGGAAATGGACATTCACCTTGCGTCCCAAAGATGATGTTTAAAATTGCCAAACAGGGAAATCTGGATGTCCCTTTTTCTTGAAGCCTTTGGCAGCGCTTCCAAAGGAAACTCGATGAACAACTCACCATGTCTTGGATCTTGAGACACACCATGTCGGGATCAGTCACCTGCCTCTCTATGAGCATCCGCTCCACTCTGGGTCCAGGACTTGCCCACCAAGCCGTCCATGCCTTGTGCCGTTTTTGGAGGCCCGGTACTCGTTGAAAGCTTGGTTGACAGGAAATCCAACAGGACAAATTACCAGTTGCGAAGTTCCACTAGATTGACACACAACCAGAACACCACGAAAACTCACTCGCAACATATATTTTAAGGTTGTATTCAAGTCAACGCCTGATTGTATGGAGCCATCTACAACCATGAATGGCCTTTTTTGCGGGCCTTTGGTGGCTGTCGCCTCTTGATCAAGCCACAGTGCACCAAGGATGAACTCCCCAAGTAGAGCTCATGCCAGGGCTTCATGCATGGGGTCGCACACTCAGCCTTTGCAGGCCCCGCTAAAAAGTGTGCAGAAGCAACGTTGCAAAGATATCAATCAATCAATCAATCAATCAATCAATCAATCAATCAATCAATCAATCAATCAATCAATCAATCAATCAATCAATCAATCAATCAATCAATCAATCAATCAATCAATCAATCAATCAATCAATCAATCAATCAATCAATCAATCAATCAATCAATCAATCAATCAATCAATCAATCAATCAATCAATCAATCAATCAATCAATCAATCAATCAATCAAATCAATTCAATTCAATTCAATTCAATTCAATTCAATTCAATTCAAATCAATCAAAACAACCAAATCAATCAAATCAATCAAATCAATCAAATCAAATCAAAACAATCAAATCAATCAAATCAAATCAAATCAAAACAATCAAAACAATCAAATCAAATCAAATCAATCAATCAGTCAGTCAGTCAGTCAATCAATCAATCAACAAAAAAACAACAAACCAGCCTAAGCAAGCGAGCAAGCAAACAAGCAAGCCAGCACGCAGGCAGGCAAGCGAGCAAGCAAACAAACACTTAAACAAAACACGCTAACAAACACCATAATACCAGGAATAGAAAAGGTGCTGGCAGTCTAGCAGGCTTCCTGCTTGTGAGAAAAAGGGTAAGAGTAGGTCAACGGAAGGGAAGGATTGAAAACTAAGCTATGTCACCCCACCACAAATCGGTGCCCCAATGGAGATATGTTGAAGGTGCGTACAATGTTTCACCAAAGGCTTCATGCGTGCAAGCAGCATTGTGTGGGCAGCTGACATGGGCCCTGATCTCCCTTCAATGCATATGCAACATGTATGGCGACCTCCTCTTAAACATCATAATGCCCAGGGGACAATGCCAAGGCCTTTCTTAGAAGCCCTGTCAAAACAGGGGGGCTGGCTTCCTTTTGGCTTTTCCTTATAACCGCCCTAAAGTCAGCTTCCCTCTAATTGGTGGCTTGGAGCCCGCTGGTTCGGTGGAGAAGGGGGTGGTTTCCCTTTTCTTTTACCATTCACAAGCACCAGAACTGCAAATCCCACCAATCCAAACCACCGATGGGTTACCTGAAGGGGGTACCTAAAAACAAGTCGCAACCCCATCTTTTGGGCGGATCACTTCGCTCCAAGGCCGGCGCTGACCCAAGGGTGCGCCTTCTGAAATAGCTCCGTCATATCCTTCCCCGCCTGAAACGCAAAGGAACCGGCGGAAGGTGCGGTTCAACCCCCTTGTCTGACTTGACATACTTTGGTCTGAAGGGCAACAAGAGGGAAAAGACTCATGTTCATGTGTTTTCTTTGAAATTTTGGGGGAGTTGGAGAGAAAGGGGGGCGGGGGGGGGGGGGGGCGCTAAAAAAAACACAAATATGCTTAAGCACCTTTTGTGCGGGCGGTTTTTGCAGTTGGTATATTTTGTGGATTGGTTGAAAGGAACGCTACAAGGAATGCTATAATTTTGAAAGATCATCCTAATTGACACAGGCCAGCAACTTTCTGTTGGTTCTCTGGTAAAGGGCACCCGGAGCTGTTTCAGCAAGTTGTACATACCCTGGGAAACTTCAGCTTTTGCCCATTTGTTATTGTGATAATACAGGTGAGTCTGGTTGTTTAAGATGGTACCCCTTTTTGACATTGGTTTAGAGGGAACTACCCAAGTTTAGGCGTGCCTATGTCCACAAACAACCCATAGGGTGACCCCATTTGCGTGCTTTGGATATATTTCGGTCATGACTGCTTTCTTTCATCTTCGGCTGCTGCGGAAACCCATGGATAACTCTACCTTGTCTACTGCCTATGCCGAGCTTCCCGAACGATTCTAGGAGTGAGCGCCTCAAAGTGACAGCTCGTGGGAGTAAGTGGAGTTGGCTGAGAAAATTCCACCTTGCTAGAACCCATTGCCTAGGTTGTGAATGGCACCCAGTAGAAGTGCCTTTGCCCCAACCCAGTGGTAGAGTTGGAACCCTTGGGGTTGGTCACTTTGGGGGAACCAAACGGGCTTGAAAGGGTGGAGACAACTGCGTAGACTTGCCCTTGGGCCAAGGGACAAAACAGGAGAGGGTCTATTCAGATACATCCTCGCGTTGCCCCTTGTTGGGTGGCTTGTCTTTTTTTGGTACGGTGCTGTTCTTGGATGGATTTAAAGGGAAACCAAAAGGAAACAGCTCTCCAGGGGTACCTTCCCCATTCTGAACCCAGGGATCCTTCTTTCTAGAAAACCTCCGGAAACCCAAGGGAAGACGGCGTTGTTGTTGTTTTCAACCATGGTTGAATGAGGAATCAACCCCTAGCTCACTATTCTTGGGGTTCCCCCGTCTCAACGCCGGCATGCTGGCCCCCTCGCATCCCGCGCCCAGGCCCCCAGCCCCAGCACCCTGGGCATTCAGCTGAACGCCAAAGCCGTCCACCCTGAACCAACCCTCGACCAACCCTCAACAAACCAAAAACCAGCCCCACCCACAACCACCCAACAAGGGAAGGGGCTATATCTACCTGAATCTTCAGGTGTGCATTTTTCCGCCGTTTGCTGAAAAAACAAATATCCGTCCTTTGGCCGCGAATACGCTTTTTCACTGCAAACGTGTCGTTTCAAGTTTGGCTGAAAACATGGTCGGGGAAAGTCGCCGTTTGGTCAGGTATTGTCGCCGTTTGGTTGGGTATTGTCGCCGTTTCGCCTTCGTGGATTTGTCCCAGAAGAGCAACAAAGTGAAAAGTGCATGGAGACACAAGAAAGTGTTGTTTGTCTGAAAAAGCAGCTTTTCACGAAAAGGCATGAAAAATACACGCTTTGGAAGATCCAATATATATATATATATATATATATATATATGCGATGGTTTAAATGGTGCCTCGCTGGGCTCCAAAGGCAATTTTGATAACCCCTCCAACCACCCCCGTCCCCTGTTTCCCCCAAAATAGGGCCTTAAATCAAAAGCGGTTGGCTAACTCATAATCCTGGTCACAAACCACTTTCTCGTCCTTTTGATGGAACAAATCCAGCACCAGTTGGTAGGTGGTTTCTGCGAGTATACATGGGGTGTCATCCATTTCAACCGGTGCGGAGCGGATTTTATCTCCACGGGGGCTTTGGGGTACGTCGATACCAAACAAAGTCATCATTATAAGAGAACAATGTGTCGTCATTTAGCCGCTTATATTAATCCACTTACGGCTTGAAGCACCCACTCAAATCCGCGAAAAATCGAAACATCCAAGGCTCCAGCGCCCTGCATGATTTGGCGCTTGCCCCCCGGGTGGAAGTCCACATAGGCCGTGATCTGGGCCGCTTGTATGGGCACCGGCAGCATCCGTAGCACCGGTTGACACATGTGAATGAATGTGCGTGTTGATTTTGGGCACGCTTTGCTGGACAACAACTGCCAACGCCTGTTAGCACATGAGAGTGTGTTGTTTAGATAGCACAGGTAACCCGCGTCTTGTCGGCTTGGGAAAAAATGATGAAACATGTGAAGGCGATTTTAAGGGTCCTAGTACCCTGCTGCGATGCAGTAGGCTTAGCGCGCCTCGCTGGTTTGCTTCAAGCTGTCACTATGCTATTCATTTTTGGAGGCGAGGCTAGCAAGGAACTGGCGCAGCTTTGCTGGGTAAGTGTCGAAATAGGGGCCCCCAAAGTGTGGTTTTCTGTTTCGTTTCCCATTGAGCCAAGGTGAACAATGGTGAGTAGGTGGGCTTCGCGATCTTGCCAGGAAGACTCCCTATTTTTCACCCTCAAACATCACCCAGATAAATCTCACTTAGACATCGGCGTCTGTGAATCATGAGTCACCAGCCTGGGCCCCACGCATCGTAGACTTTGTTTTGGAAAATTGTCCAGCAATCGCCGGCAGTGCGATGCCTGCGGCTGATCTGAAGGACATTACCCTCCCACCAACTAACATGGAACCTGACAGGGGGGTCCTGGGAGACCATTTTCCTTTTAAAGGGACACTCTGTGCGAGGGTATAAGTATCAACCTATCATTCTTGCTCAGTCTAACTGTCGAACACAAGGGCCTGCCGTGTTGCGTGGTCCAATGATGAGTACCAAGCCCCAGTGCCAGCGAGTGTGTCTGCGATCGTCCCCCCTGAGCCATGGCCTAACATTTTGTAGGTTCAGTGGAAAAGCTGTAAATTTAATCAATGGAATCAGTTCCCCGCCTCGCCACCTCCTCAGGAGTCAGACTGGCAGGCTCCACCTGTGCCTGCAACAAGTAGCCGGCGTGTTTTTTTTTGGGGGTGTGTTTTTTGCGTTTATTGTAGCCCCTTTTCGGAAGGGGACACCAGAAGGAACCCGCCCATTTAGCGAGGCACAACACCACACCCCAAAAGGGTCTAGATAGGTTCTTTTGGGGATGGGTTCTCAATCCTAGATAACTCATGATCATAGGACAATTTGAGTATTTGCTTAGCCCTTTATACCTGCCCAACCGCAGAGGAAAAACCGTAGGCCAATAAATCTAAAAGTGTGTTTCAATGACACCAACCACTCTTAGGGTTCAGTGCCAACCTCAGCAACTTCCGTCATGAAAGAAACCATCCTGACGGGCGAGGCTGCAAAATGATTATAATGCCTTTTTTCTTTCACACGAACCTTTTTTTCCGGCTGAGGCGGCGTACTCGATTTGCGTCTGATGGTCCCCACGCCGTGAGGAATGTCAGACTTCACCAAATTGGAATCTTGAGTCTCTGCGATCAGCTGGCTAGTGCTTTGATTTCTGCTCGAGACACCGACAGTGGCTCCACAAAACCATACGTGTGGCAAGTATTGTTTCAAAGGGCAAGTGAGACCTTAGTAAGGGCATAAACTGGAAGCGTCATGCGAAACTGCACTGGTTGCATTTGAAGAAATCAGCAAAACACAGTCGAAATGCATCTCCTCGCCCACAGCGTCTAGTCACCAGCGAACTGTCGTTGCGGAAATGCATGCATCTCTCACTTCCTGGGTGGATTGGCCAAAACAAATCTGTTTGCCACTATCAAGCTCTTGCTTGTGGAAAAAGCAACCCTTTGAAAAACAAAATCTTTGAAGAGGCCTCTTGGCGTCGCAAGAAAATGGGTTTCCGCAAGCCCCGCTTCGAGCCTTGGGGTTCTTGTTGCCCTCCAGCATGTGCAGGAACTGCAGCTGGCTCCCGCCCGCCCTCAGCGAGCACCGTGAGCGTGTGTGGCAAGCCGCAAGTGAAGTACGGGGCGAAATAGTTGCATGCATGCATGATGCTTTCACAATTACCAGAACAGCTGGCGAAGCCGGTTGGCAGACGTTGCAAAAATTGTAAGACCTATAATGTTGAGCAAGTCAAATGACCCAATCTATCAATCAATCAACCAACCATCAGTCAATCTAATCTGTCTGTCTGTCTGCCTGCCTGTCTGGCTGTCCATCTAAATACTTGCTGACTATATATCGGCATGTATGTGACGTATGTGTGTGTGTGTCAATCTGTCTATCTACCTATTTGCTTTTTGCCGATCTATCCATCTACTTCTAGATCTTGCCGTCTGTCTGCCAAGACCAACACCTGCCTTTTAATGGGTAACGAAACCGGTACCTGCACGAAATCTGCACCTGACCTTGCAAAAGTGCTGCGCCTGTCACGAAACCCATACCTGAATTTGCACAAGCGCCGTGCCTGTCCCGGGCTCTCACTTCCAGGCAACGGCGTGTGATCAGCTCCAAAGCTGACGCAACTGCGAGCGAGGTCTGGGCGTAGGGTGGCTGGCGCAGCGCAGCGTGTTGAGCTGGAACGTGGCCTCGGCTGCCGCTTCTGGCTTGCAAACTTGGCTAGCCAGCAAGTGGCACAATCAGAAAGATCACATACAAACGCTAAGCCAGAATGCTGCTCTTGTTGCCCACGTCGCTGTCGCAGTTCCTGCAGGCCTGCATGAAGATCCGCGGGATGAGCCGGCACACCCCGGGTGGCCCATTGCACGCTTCCTTGAGCACTATATGTTAGCCTGGGGCTTGTCCGGCGCATACACGCAAAAATGACAGCAGGAAGTTCTTGTGCAGTCGAAACAGACCCCAGGAGTACAACTTGGTGGTGCTTGATGCCAAGCTGAACTTCGTCGGGGAGCGGAAGAATATACCCGGCATAGATGAAGGGCCGAAGGCGAAGTTCTTCAGGACCATTGCTCCTGCTAAAGACAAGATGGTGGACTACATCCCCAATTGCTGGAAGGAGTCTGGCAACGTCAGGTAGGGCGCATGTTCTGCTGCGGAGGTCATGATGAAGATGCTAAGATCAACTCTCAACGGGTCTCGGAGTTGTTCGAGGCGGAGATGCTGAAGAAAAAGGTCAATCGGCGGATGGGTTTCAGTTGACCAGGCGCTGTGGTTCTGGAATGGCTGAGGCTGCACCAACGGGGCAATACTTCACAGCGACAAAAGTGGCAATTCGCATAGTCCCGCAGCGGGTAGCAAAGGTCCGCACTTTTTGCACATCGATCACGCCCATTCATGCAGAAGGTCGCAAACCAGAGCAGCGCCAACGGCCCCGCCGCAATAGAAAGCTAAGTTTGCAAAGTTGAGATTGAGAAGGTCTCTGAGCGAGTTCTCTGAGCAAGCTGTCTCCAAGCAGGTTCTCTAAGTGAGTTCTATGAGCAAGTTTCTCCAAGCAAGTTCTCCTAGCGAGTTCTCGGAGCAAGTTCTTTCCAAGCAAGTTCTCTAAGCGAGTTCTCTGAGCAAACTCTCTCCAAGCAAGTCCTCTAAGCAAGCTATCTGAGTAAATCCGCCGCTCCTTACCTCTTTACCTGTTCCCCCTCCCCTAACCCCTCCCCAGGGGCACCATTTCAGATTCAGACTGTTGCCAAGCGGGGGGGGGGGTCCACGTACCACGCGGTGATTCGAAGACGCTTCACTAAATCTGTTCATTGCGCGGGCTTGCGCAACTCAGTTTGTCAAAAACATTGGGGTGTTCGATTCCCCCCGGTGCGCTTTCGCATCCTTAGCTGCTCCAGCGGCACATCGCCAGCATCACCTGCATCATCCGCATCAGCGCCTGCCAAGGATGCGGATGATGCAAGTGATGCTGGGGATGTTGCCCATGCTGGTGAAGGAAATGAAGGGGGGAAAGGGGGAAAGGATCTCAACAGCGAAAGGGGGGGAAAGATCTCAGGGAGGAAAGGGAGAAGATCTGGGGAAAAAATGCCTTAAGGGGGAAAGGGGGGAAAAGATCTTTGGGAGGAAAAGGGAAATCTTTCTCGGGGGGAACAGGCCCTAAGGGGCAATGGGGGGACAGGATCTCAAACGGGAAAGGGGGAAAAAGACTTTGGGAAGAGAAGGGTGGAGATCTTGGGGGGAAAAGGCCTTAGGGGGGAAACGGGGGAAAGGATCTTAAGCGGGAAAGGGGGGAAAAGATCTTAGGGAGGCAAAGGGAGACGAACTCAGGGAAAAGGACTTAGGGAGGAAAGGGGGGGAAAGATCTTTGGGAGGAAAAGGGGGAAGAACTGAGGGTGGGAAAAGGCCTTAGAAGGAAAAGGGGGGAAATAAATGATCTCAACAGGGAACTGGGGGGGGGGGGGGAAAGGTCGTAGGGAGGAAAGGCAGAAGATCTGGGGCAAAAAGGCCTTAGGGGGGAAAGGGGAGAAATGATCTCAACAGGGAAAGGGGTGGAAAAGATCGGAGGAACGGGAGAAGACCTGAGGAAAAAAGGCCAACAGGGAAAGGGGGGAAAAGATCTTAGGAAGGAAAAGGGAGAAGCTCTCAGGGGGGGAAAGGCCTTGGGAGGGAAAGGGGGGAACGGATCTCAACAGGGAAAGGGTGGGAAAGATCTTAGGGAGGAAAGGGGGGGGGGGGAAGATCTTAGGGAGGAAAGGGAGAAGATCTGGGAGAAAAGGACTTAGGGGGGAAAGCCCAACAGGGAAAGGGGGGAAAAGATTTAGGAAGGAAAAGGGAGAAGCTCTCAGGGGGGGGAAAGGCCTTAGGGGGGAAAGGGGGAAAAGGATCTCAGCAGGGAAAGGGGGGGGGGGAAGATCTTAGGGAGGAAAGGCAGAAGATCTGGGGACAAAGGCCTTAGGGGGGAAAGGGGAGAAATGATCTCAACAGGGAAAGGGGTGGAAAAGATCTTAGGGAGGAAAGGGAGAAGATCTGGGGGAAAAAAGGCCAACAGGGACAGGGGGGAAAGATCTAAGGAAGGAAAAGGGAGAAGCTCTCAGGGGGGGGGAAAGGCCTGAGGGGGGAAAGGGTGGGAAGGATCTCAACAGGGAAAGGGGGGAAACAATCTTAGGAAGGAAAAGGGAAAAGATCTGGAAAGGCCTTAAAGGGAAGAAGGGAAAGGATCTCAACGGGGAAAGGGGGCAAAGGATCTTAAGGAGGAATAGGGAGAAGATCTCAGCGGGGGGAAAGGCCTTAGGAAGGAAAGGAGGGAAAGGATCTCAACAGGGAAAGGGGGGGACAGATCTCAGTGAGGAAAGGGAGAAGATCCCAGGCAGGGAAAAGGCCTTAGGGGGGAAAGGGGGAAAGGATCTCAACAGGAGAAGGGGGCAAAGGATCTTAGGGAGGAAAAGGGAGAAGATCTGAAAAGGCCTTAGGGGGAAAAGGGGGAAAGGAGCTCAACAGGGAAAGGTGGGAGAAGATGTTAGGGAGGAAAAGGGAGAAGATCTCGGGGGGAAAGGGGGAAAGGATCTCAACCAAGGGAAAAGATCTAGGGGAGGACAAGGGAGAAGATCTCAGGGGGGAAAGGCCTTAGGGGGGAAAGGGGGGAAAGGATCTCAACAGGGAAAGGGGGCAAAGGATCTTAAGAAGGAAAAGGGAGAAGATCTTGGGGGGAAAACGCCTTAGGGGGGAAAGGGCAGGAAAGGATCTCAACAAGGAAAGGGGGGAAAAGATCTTAGGAAGGAAAAGGGGGAAGATCGCGGGGGGAAAAAAGGCCCTAGGGGGGAAAGGAGGGAAAGGATCTCAACAGGGAGAGGGGGGAAAACATCGTAGGGAGGAAAAGGGAAAAACTCAGAGGGAGAAAGGGCCTTGGGGGGGAAAGGGGGAATGGATCTCAACAGGGAAAGGTTGAGAAAGATCTTAGGGAGGAAAAGGGAGAAGATCCCAGGGGGGGAAAGGCCTTAGGGCGGAAAGGGGGGAAAGGATCTGAGCAGGGAAAGGGGGGGAGGGGGGGGGAAAGATCTTAGGGAGGAAAGGCAGAAGATCTGGGGACAAAGGCCTTAGGGGGGAAAGGGGAGAAATGATCTCAACAGGGAAAGGGGTGGAAAAGATCTTAGGGAGGAAAGGGAGAAGATCTGGGGGAAACAAGGCCAACAGGGAAAGGGGGGAAAGATCTACGGAAAGAAAAGGGAGAAGCTCTCAGGGGGGGAAAGGCCTCAGGGGGAAAGGGTGGGAAGGATCTCAACAGGGAAAGGGGGGAAACAATCTTAGGAAGGAAAGGGGGGGGGGAAGATCTTAGGGAGGAAAGGGAGAAGATCTGGGAGAAAAGGACTTAGGGGGGAAAGCCCAACAGGGAAAGGGGGGAAAAGATCTTAGGAAGGAAAAGGGAGAAGCTCTCAGGGGGGGGAAAGGCCTTGGGAGGGAAAGGGGGGAAAGGATCTCAACAGGGAAAGGGTGGGAAAGATCTTAAGGAGGAAAGGGGGGGGGAAGATCTTAGGGAGGAAAGGGAGACGATCTGGGAGAAAAGGACTAAGGGGGGAAAGCCCAAGAGGGAAAGGGGGGAAAAGATCTTAGGAAGGAAAAGGGAGAAGCTCTCAGGGGGAAGGGGGGGGGGGGAAAGATCTTAGGGAGGAAAGGGACAAGATCTGGGGACAAAGGCCTTAGAGGGGAAAGGGGAGAAATGATCTCAACAGGGAAAGGGGTGGAAAAGATCTTAGGAAGGAAAAGGGAGAAGCTCTCAGGGGGGGAAAGGCCTTAGGCGGGAAAGGGTGGGAAGGATCTCAACAGGGAAAGGGGGGAAACAATCTTAGGAAGGAAAAAGGGAAAAGATCTGGAAAGGCCGTAAAGGGAAGAAGGGAAAGGATTTCAATGGGGAAAGGGGGCAAAGGATCTTAAGGAGGAACCTCAGCGGGGGGAAAGGCCTTAGGAAGGAAAGGAGGGAAAGGATCTCAACAGGGAAAGGGGGGGAAAGATCTCAGTGAGGAAAGGGAGAAGATCCCAGGCAGGGAAAAGGCCTTAGGGGGGAAAGGGGGAAAGGATCTCAACAGG